AAATTTAGCATTTAACCAACAAAATTCTTCTCCACACTCCCAAACAGGAAAGCACGTTGTACAAAACAAGAAAACACGTGGAACCAACAGGTCAGACTAAAAAAAATTTGAATCCTTAAACAAATTTTAGAATTAGAATTTGGTAAAAGAAAAAATAAATATTAAAAGAGTTTTTTTTAATGAAATATTTTAAATTAATTAGGTATTAAGAGATTAATAAAAATAAATTATTGAGATAATTATTTTATTTTATTTTTTTTGTATAATTTAATTTATTATTAAAATAATTAATTTTTTTAACTTACTTGAAACTCATAATATTAAATTTATTTATTTATTTAATAATATATAAAAATTATATAAAAATAAAAAATAAAAAATAACACCGTCCATTAAAAAAGAAAAAGAAAAAGAAGACCCACCCATGAGTGACAGCAATGCCACGCTTTTACCGCCGCGCATACCGCTGGTGCCCCAAACCGTCCCTATAAAATATATCCCAAAGCCACTTTCCATGAATGCCAATTGCCACAACCGTTGTTCCTCAGTTTACGGTGCCGTCAACATGGCTGCTGCCGGCGGACTCTTCCGATCCGTCTACGAAGTGTGCATCTCCGGCAGCGACAGGGACATAGAGAACCGTCCCTACCACCGCAACTGCGGCTGCGCGCTTCACAGCAGATCTCGTGGGACCTGTCCTCACGCTTCCCCCAAATCCAACAACGTATCGTACCCCATGAGAAGGTCGAAGAGTGAAGGATGGCTTGTCATGGCAACAACCCCTAACCATTCAATTACCTCGCAGGCAGAGTCTTCATTGGAGATCAAGGAAAATCTTTACAAGATTGATGAACTGAATAAATCAAATATTTGATCAGTTTGATTTGAATAAGCTGAGGTAATGAATTTTTTTGGATTCAAAGGGTTTCGTCATGTGAACATCTTGATATTCTGTACATGCATGTTCATATAGAAATGATCCTTTGATCTGTATATCTAGTTCTATTGTATGTGTTGCTTAGTATATTTCATCAATAAAGGAGATAATTACGTCCAAATCCTTTTTTTTTTTTTTATGCTTACAATCAAATTATTATTATTATTATTATTATTATTTAAAATTACAAAACAAACGCACTCTCGTCCCTAGATACCTTATACTCTTTTATTTTGCTTTACTTGTATGTTATAGAATTAAATTTAAAACTTTTACTTTACTATAATGAGGTTATAATTAAATTATTTAATTTATTTTCAAGATATTATCAAAATTATATATCATTATTATTTCTCTTTAGTTTGGATTGGGGAAGTTTAAGGATAAGGGAGAGAGATAAGGGTGAGATGCCTCTTTATTGTGTTTGGATTATTCTTTTTAACAAAGAGAGAAGATGGAAGAATATATAGTCCCTTCCACTCCTTTGTGCAATCCCTTTTAAGTTAGAGGGATTCAAGGGATCAAGTCTATATATTTATTTTTTTATAAATTTATTTTAAAAATAAATATATAAATATATTTTATATTAATTATTTTTTTAATTAATGAGTTTTAAATATTTTAACACAATTAACACTAATCATTTCCTTCTCTTTCCCTCCCTTTCCTTCCCTTTGCTAATTTTTATGCAAACAAACACTTTGAGAAAGTGTTTTTAAGGTACTTAAAGAAACTCTTCTTTATATTATTTCATTAATGACTCTCTAATAATTTTAATACTGTAGTTTTAGGTGCTGTTCCACTTGAAAAACATGAATACTGTAGTTTTAGGTGCTGTTCCACTTGAAAAACATGAATCTCTTAGATTTTTATAAGCTTAGGAAGCCATCTTTGCATCTAATGTTTTGTGGGGTAATTGATATCAAATTTGATGACATACAGTAACAACACCCTCATGCCTTGCAAAATCTGATTCCGAGTCAGTAATCAGAGGCTTGCGGCTGCCAACCCCTTTTGCCCCAAAGAAACAAGCAACTCATAATCCTGCACATCACACAGTATTTATGAGCAATAAGTCATTGACGTCTTGACTGCACCGTATGTTGCTACAACAACAGGAGATGACATAGAATATAATACAACGAGTACCTGTACAATGGACTGTGCACAAAGCTTCCCTGAAAGGACAGCACCTTCCATTGATGCCAAATACTTTTGCTTTGTGTAGTCACCAGCTAGATAGAACCCCTCTACTGGAGATCTTTGCAAAGGACGGCACGGTTCACAATTTGGAATGGTTTTATATACAGACCTGAAGATAATTTAGCAGTTGACATAGTTTATCAAGTAATGGAATTGTTCTGAACAGGGAATAACTAACTTTTTAGTCTAACCTTGGTGTTTTAACAACATGGTACTTTAAAATTTTTGCCTTGCTCTGATCTGCAGAGATTTCATCTGGAAAAAGTTTTGCTAGTTCCTTCATTGTAGCATCAATAATTTCTGAGTCACTTCTTGAAATCCATTCTTCTGCAGGAGCAAAAACCAACTCCAGCATGGATTGGTTTAGGTTATAGTATTCCTGCAGAAAACGGAAGCAATTCATCTCAAAATACCATAACGTTTTCAGTAAAGGGACGAATACAAATATCTAACTCGTTATGTTTAAAGGAAGTGCATAGTGAGGGACAATGTTTACCTTACATGTCACAGACATATCAGCATACACACTTAGAAGGGGACTTCTGCAAGAAAAAAAGAAAGATCGATGATAAGAAATTCAGTTTAAAACCAATATCATGGTAAAGATCAGATAAATTCAGTTCTTGAATATCTGGAAAAGCATTAACCAGAATTTCAAAAACATACCTCCAGCTTACCTTTAAATTTTTTTTAATTATTACTGGGACATATAAGAACTTATTGATATTTAGCCATTGCAAAGGTTTGAAATACTACCTTAACCCCAAAAATTAATGCAGTTTGAGGATACCTTCTAGGCTAAGTTCTTGTCAGTTTTTAATTAAAATAAATTCTATTGGTGAAGAATGCAGCAGATCTGCACGATACTTCTAGACTAAATCCACACCCAACAAAAAAACAGGGTACCACGACGGAAAGAACTATGATGACTACTAGACAAGACTCAAGTCAATATGCATCAGATTTCAGTTCCTTGCTAAGGCAAATAAAAGCTTCATGGTTCATCTAGCCAAAAAAAAGAAAAAAAATGATGAACGGAGGACCTGCTAAAGAGTAGGTGATCATATGTGTTCTTCAGTTTTCTGTCAAACCTGCAAATGAAGATAATCTACATCACTCAGCCACTGGAATCCAGTCTGAACTATTACCAGCAATTATTTAACAAATCAAAAGTAGTCTCCAACCAAAAAAACAACCAATAGGTATGATGACATCATGCAGCCAAAGAAGAGTCAATCATCATTCCTTGCTGTGTGATTTCACTTTTTAAGAATTTAGGATTTCATTTTTTAAGTTATGGTGTTTTGATGCTTTCAACAACAGAAATATTAATTTCTGTAATTCCTGCTTCCAAGGATTATTATCTAATTTTATCATGACTATTCCATGTCACGTGAGCATTCACATTTTAAACCCAGTATGAATAATGGAATAAATTTCTCTTCCTATCTATTTAGTTGTTCTTAAATTTAGAGGAATTATAGTTGGATAGACATCCATGGATATAGTTCATTATCAATTGATTGCTGATGGTTTAAAACACTTACATATTGAAGTTCTAAATAGATGCAATAAAAAGCAGCGTGTGAGAGACAGACCATCATCAAAACATAAATTTAACCCCCCCCCCCACCCTTCCCCCAAAATAAATAAATAAATAAAGAATTATAACTAACCATATGTGAACATTAATGACTGGGACTCCAACCAATTTCTCCAATCTCTTGAAATATGGAATATCTCTCCAAATTTCAGGCAAAAGAAGCTTCAGGATGTCGACTAGTTGGAAGAAGGTTTACAAACCATTATTGATGAAAATGCTATTGAATAATAATAGTAACAAAACAAAAAGAACAATAAGAATTGTATGGTATAACAGAAAACATTTAGCTGACCTGGAGTTGCAAACACATAAGCATCTCCTTCAATAATATCACCACCACTTAGCACAAAGTTCTTTACAGTCCCATCATCATTAAGCTCTATTTTCTTTATTCGGGAATTAAGTCGGACTTCACCACCAAGTGACTCCATATGATCAACAATAGGCATGCAGAGCCTCTCAGGTGGATTGCCATCTAAGAATGCCATCTTTGAGCCATGCTTCTCCTGTAGATAAACTTTTATTAATTCTGAAAAAGCTAGCATAATACTGTAAAAATAAATAAAGCGGCAAGTATTTTATTTTGTTTTATACACCATAAATAATAGAAAAGACAAACAGCCAAGTAAAAGCTCTCCAAATTAAAACCCACAATTTATCGAAGACTGGATATAAAATGAACAATCTACTGTGAATCAACCATCAGAGAATGCTCAAAATTAACCTAGTCTTGAAAGAAACATAATTTACAGACTCAAGAACAAGTTAATAACTAAGAAGTAAGAACACTCATTCAATCTCCCAACTAAGCTTCTCAACATTGGACATGTGCGAAATTAGACTCTTATAAACCATTGACAGTTGATGCAAGAATGCTTCATAACAAAGCAAGATATTAATAACTTAGGACAACATATGTTAAAATTTTAATAATTTTGCTACTTATCCTATATTTATTATCTAATCCACTAAACTTAAAATTTCCTTTTTCCTAAAATGAGGAATGGGTAAAAAGTGGAAGGACCGCCATACCTGAAGAAATCGGTTCAAAGCAATCAATATACATTGCATTGAAAGTTCATCTGGGTTAATGAAATTTAGAGCCTTTGACATGGCTATAAACACCTCATCAGTCACTCGATCAGGTATGCCCTAAATAGCAAGATGTAAAAAAATTAGTTTTCAGTACTTACAATCATCTTTATCTTTTTTAATAAAGGAACTGCACCATATTCATTATGATTAAACTAAGCAGATATGCAACATGCAACATCAACTGAAATCACCACATTATATAACCAAAATGTCATGGTTAATCCAAGTTAACAAGGGTCTTTTCCCTTAGGCAAGTTTTAAACTGAGATGAGCTCAGTTCATAAATCACCTACTACCTAGCTGGCACCCATTATGGTCTCCTTTTTATAAGGCCAACAGCATCTTTATACTCAATCTTCCTGACTGTAGCTTGGAAACAGATTTTAATCAAAGTAACCTTTATACCTGCTTTCTCATCCACTGTGTAACACTTAAACCATCTTGAGCCTCAACATATGCCTGTCCACCAATCATTGCTGGAAGGAGCCCAATTGCAAATTTCACTTTCTCTGGCCAAGTTAGCATTTCATTATTCTTCAAGATGGCCCATATTCCTGTTGATCACATCAACCCCAAATGTAAAAGCAAGTCATGTGCAAATCCAATTTGTAATTTCTGTAGATGTTAATTTTAATTTATAGCATACAAAGAGTTACTTCCACATACATATAACTAATACTAATAAAAGGTATAACAAACATCTACTCGTTTTAAAAAATTGGACTACATAAGCCAGGTAACCAATTCATCATTTGTTGCAAGCTTGTTTGATCCATTTTTCTAGAAGCACAAACAACTTGTTATAAATCTGCGAAAAGACATTCATACTTTAATTACAACAGATTTTAGTTTCTTACCATTGATAGGCGCTGGTAGAACTTCAGGAAAATCAAACCGGCTGAACTCTCCTGGTTTATTTGGCATTGCAAATATCATAGAATGCTCTTTCCACTGCAGGCGATCATTGATGCCCAGTTCTCCAAACAGGTTCTGCACATTTGGGTAAGCACCAACTTGCCAGAAAGAAAAGAAAATAACATGACATTAATATTTCAAATAGTTTACAAGATAACAACAGTCTAGTGATGGACAAAGATACAAATATTTGGGGGGTATGATTCCTAGATTTATATATGACCAACCTACAAACAAGTTCCAAGAAAAATAAAAAGGGTGAACGATACAACAGAACTAAATTAAAATGAAGCAAGAGATAAACGGATTCAAACCAGTTAGACCAGTAAGTATTGAATGAGAAATGCAAATGTCACAACTTCGCCGCTGATCAAAAAAGAGGAAATAGAAAAATAAGTACATAAACTCACAGAATATATGCAGTCCTGTCTCATACCAATCTCCATCATCATCTTTCCACGCAGCCACCTACAACAAACAAGGCCAAATCATACATTGCAACAACAACAACAACAACAACAAGTCATGGACAATCATCCTAAAAAAACCTCTCCTAAAATATAGGTGACCCCATATCAAACAGGAGACTTAAACCATAGCCAACCATCCTCTTAAAATCATTTTAATTGTTGGACTCTAGACTCAGTAATTAACTTAGCAATGTGATGAAAAGCTGAATAATTGCCGGTAACAAGAAATTAAGAAAAACAAAAAATATAACCTTTCCACCTAGAACATCTCTTGCTTCCAGTAATAGAGGTTTGTGACCAGCATCAGCCAAATATTTAGCAGTTGACAAACCAGCCAAACCTGCAATAATTTCACAGCAGACAATAGAATTAAAGGAAAGCAGCAAAATCTGAGAAGAGATGGTAAGAAATTGATTACCTGCACCAGCAATTACTACTTTGAGAGGTTTTCTTGGTCGAGGAGAAGAACGAAATGATGCAGATAAGGAAGCAGCTTCCAAGAAATTAACAGCATTCTCCAGCTCTGGTCTTGGGTAATCCATACAAACTACCTACAAAAAACCACCATAGCAAAAGAAGAAATCTTTTTTAATAAAAGGGAAAAAACAAAGAGATGAGAGAGTATGCAGAAAACAACCCGCAAAGGAGATGATCTCCTCCTCCTTAAACTCTGTTTTCCCATGGGTATTGAGCTAGTTTGGCAGGTCAAGTTTGCCGCAGAAACACTCCCGCACAGACTCATTTTGGATTTAGTTGAAAGGAAGAGAGAAATGGAAGTGGCAGACAGGATTTGGTTGAGAGGAAGAAGGAAGTCCGGTGGCCGATGGTGGTGAGGACACGCCTATTGCAATGCAAAACGGGTGGGACGTATTTTAGCCTTACAGGTCCACGCCACGTCAGGAAGTAGGCCGCACTCTAGTGGGAACTAAACAAATTAAATACAATAAACAGTGTTTTTGGTCTGTACCCAATATACAAAGAGAGCTGTTTTTCAGCAGTTGGAATTATAATATGGGCTTATTTGCATTAATAATCCAAATTTAGTAAACAATGAATAGTAGTTAATGAATGGTGAGTTATAGATAATAAATAATGGATTTGATTAATATAATTATTTAGTTATATAATAATTAGTTGTTATTATTTAATATTAAATAATTAATAAAGATATGTTTAAAAATAATTAAGTATATTTTTTTAAAATATTTTTATTTTTTTTATTATTAAAATTATTAATTTTATAAAA